GTTTCTGACAACAAAGAAGTACGACTGCTTTCTCCAAGTGACCACCTCTTCTGAATTTGAGTCTTGGACACATTTACTCAGAGCATTGTCATCGGCCCAGGTTCTCCAGGTGTCGAGAACACTTCGGACGTCCGATCTGCTCATCGAGTAAACAACCACATCACGTGCATACACCTCTTTTACATCCGATTATGCTGCTCTAAGCCTTCATGGTCGATCCACTGAAAATAACACAATGAGGAGAGGGCTTAGTGCAGCGGTTCTCAAAGAGGGGGGGGGGGGGGGGGGGCAATTTCAAAATCAGTCTGACATGGACTTTTTTTAAAACTGAAAAATGTCAACGTTCCTTCACAGTCTTGTAAAGACTCTCATGGGATGGGAGGCAGATTTAAGTAGAGTAGCGGGACGCAAATCCACCCTTTTTCTCTGAAATGCAAGACCAAGGTGTCTCTGGCTCTTTCTCCGGGAGTACAAGATTAAATTAAAGCAATTCCCAAGCGAAGGTTTTGAAATTCGATTCTTATTCAACGGGTGTTCACTTCCATCGGCGATAGCCGATGATCCGAATCAAGACGACAAAGGGCTCTTGCGTCGCTTTGGGTCGCAACTTGAATACTCGGGGTAGTGTTGGAACACTGGTGCACTCTAAAGAAATATTTGAAAAGACTCAAAGACGCAAATGCGCTGGGTTCCCCAGACAGAGCAAAACGTCCTAAGATATTTTCTCTGTCAGGTCTTTGAAAATTCTCTCCCCATATCTTACCAGAGCGAAAATTCGGTGTCGCTTGGATGTTGACAAGCTTTCCGTCGTTATTGCTGCTATCCAGCTCATTTTTGGACCCAGAAGTACGTGGGCACCGTTCTCATTAAATTTGGTGTTTGATCATTCAATTCCTAGCTGTGCCCCCGGTCCTTGAACTATGGCATTCTTTTATCTTTTATTAGGGTCGGTTTCATATCCTTTGCCGTTATAATAGACGTTTACGAGACTCGTTTTACAATATTCAGGGATCTTGCTGGGCGTAAGGTAGACATTGAGTAAACCTGTCCAAAAGTGACTGGTCACATTTACAGATCCTTTCAAAAGTTCATAATCTATTTCGCCCAAACTTGTTGCTTTCCCATCTGCACTGTAAAAAAAAAATGTCTTTTTTAAATGTCTATATAAATGTCGACATTTGGAGTCTAAGATAGAGGAAATTCATTTTTCTTCAACTTTGTTTCAATATGGACATACTTGTACACGGAGGGAGAGAAATGGAAATATCAAGAATTTGCTTTTTTTGTCAGAGCTCTGTCTCTGCAATTCTCACGATTTCATATGCAGGGAACAGAATCCGTTATCAATGAATGGACTCCAAATCAATCAAAATTGAATCTTCTCTTCTCGATTGCTCGCCCATACAGCTAAAGATATTTTCTCCTTAGTCATTTATGCCGTAAAGACACTTTTAACGAATCATATTTTGCAACTACGACGGTACGAATGGTACATTCAGGCACCTTCACTCCAATACTAAGGAAGTCTTTTATGAAATTATGTGAAATGCAAATAAATATAAGAATGTCGAAGGGTTTATGTCTGACAGCAAAAGTATCCATCTTACACTTCAAGCAGACGCTAAGAGACAATGTTAAGGGGCGGGGAAAGGGGGAGAAGGAGGGAGGAGGGGGAGAAGGAGAAGGGGGACAATGGAAGTGGCGGGAAAAAGAAAGTTCTAAACGCCATCCACTGTCGTGATGTCCCCTGACCTCATCTCGCCCCAGCCGTGGTACTGCCTCGACCTGTATACCGTGTTAGTGACTTCATCCATCTCCCAAGTGCACATATAGCCACTTCATGAATTTATCGTGAGTCCAATCTTTTTTCTCAGTACATAGGCCTACGTCTTGTTTTCAATTATTATATTTCCCTTAGTGAAGTAGGTATACTCAGAGGAGGGACGAATCGGTAGAATAAAATTTTTTAGCAAATAATATCCCAAATATTAGAACTTATAATTAGGAATGTATCTGCATATCATATCATAGATATTAAAAGGAGGCTTCTCCTGGCCACGTCCATTTGCAGATTTCGTTTGAACTTCATTTCTTGTAATAGGACTGTAACTGCTAAATGTACTGGGCTTAGTAAAAGAACATTCGCTAGGTGACTAGAGGGATATTGAAAAGTATTCTTGAATATTCCAACGCAGTGGCGCAGTCAAGGGGGGGAGGGGGTTTAAGTATCTCCGTGTTCCTTCATCTCTATCTCCCCCGAGGGTGGGGGAAACGCTGAAAGATCATGAACTAACACCCTGAGAGCGAGGCTAAAAAGGGAGGTAGATGGGAGGTAAGAATCGAAGGTCACGCCAGTCACATGTGGCTACTCGCTGCGGATTTTTTTTTCTGAAAACGGGAGGACGATGACTCATGTAAGGTGTATATCACGTTCAGGTTAACGAATTTCCAGTTGCTTGTCCGCGCAGTGAAGTCTGGGCTGAATCCCGAAATTAAATTTCCCCGAAAAACACATGCATGGTATGATCTATTAAATGTGTCTCTTTATTATGTAGGAGCATGGGGAAAATCCAGCCAGAGCTACCGGAGGCAAGAATGTCCACCAAATGCAAGAAGAAAAGATCCTGTCAACTGAATACCATCATGGATGACGTTCGAAGCATGAATGGGCGAATGAGAGATAGTCGTCTGATGCCCATCCTACCATTTCGTTTCGTATTCTTTGTTATTCTTACGTGATTTCATGCAGTGCAAATAGATTGTAAGGAATAGTCAAAACTTGTTGTATTGTCTTTTGATTCCACCGCATGCGTAATACGAAAGGCGAGGCATAGAAGTATTTGTCTTAGGACACGTCTTTTGAACATTGCATTTTGGAATGGAAATCAAAAATAAGAATATTTTCTAGTTTCTTTTCTTAATGTCGGAATTCTATGTGACGAAAATCCATGATTCTAACATGGAATACGTAAAAATACTATTTAAAAAAAGCCAAGTACTTCACAAATAGGGTGAAAATTCTCCTGCCCGGGGTCTCAAGATTCCCCCTGTCCGTTTGAAAATTACGGTCTCTTGAGGGAAAAAGGCCCTTCCAAGATTAGCCGGTATTTTTCCGAGTCTGGCAGGAATGAGGCATTTCCCCTCTTTAATGTAAAACCGGTTTTCCCCTAATAAGAGGAATCACACTCTAGCGTACCTGGCGGATTTTCCCCCTTTGAACTGTAGGAGGAGATTCCGAGTTTTAACCGAAAATTCCCTTATTTATGTGATTATCTTCTTTACCCATAGAACCTGTAAACTCACATTCCCTCTCTTCCCGGACTCACCAGTTTCTTGCTCTTCGTGTAAATCTTACTGTTCACCAATAAGCGGAATTATCCTTTTCCACCATGGCATCGTAAATGTCATTTTACGATCACAAGCCGACAGCAATGTTTCCAACCTCTTGGTTGGAAATTTACGGAATTTTTTTTTACAGTGTATTTCTTTGTTAGTTTTTATCGACGGCTAGGACTCTCCATGTTTCCTCATTTCACAGTTCATCAGACGTCCCTGCATTAGACAATGGTATTGAGGAATGCAAGCGGAGCGCTAAGTGGACTGTTCCTATCGTTGCCAGAGCGCGGACTACATTATCAATGTATATGGCACAGTATGTTACAGGAAGAACGAATGTCACTAGGGTTAGCCAAGGCTTATAGTTGCACTTAGAAGGTGGAGGAATGGCACACATAGGACAAGACTGAATCAGCCTCAGACCACTACATCACAACGCATTGTATTCTCCATTCAACAATACGTTCGTCATTGCTCATCCCGAAGGCATTCCATCATGGGAGGCTCGTGATATTCAGCAGTAGTGGACCGTCAATGGAGACCACGTTGGTCCGGGCCTACCCTACTTCCATTAAGAATCCGCTACTGCTGAATATCATGAGCCACCATTGCATTCCATGCAGTGACGCAACCAGCCCTAAAGTTGGGGGGGTTTGAAGGTCTCGTGTATTTCAAATGTCTTCAAATGCAAGAAGGCGTTATCATCAGGAGAGATATACGAGTACTCAACAAAAACGTGAAACGGTGCGCACACGTGAACAAAGAAAATGAAACGAAGAAAAATGTTTGAACTCTAATGATAAAAGCACATTCGATATCTGAAAAAAGCTCAAAATGAACTAAATTAATTTCAGGATTCAGTCCAAATATCACTGCGCAGATATGCAACTGGAAATTCCTTAACCTGTACGCGATTCACGCCTTTTATTTGGATTGTCGTCCTTCTGTTTTCAGATAAAATTCAGTAGCGTCACATGTGCAGGACGTTTCCTTCACAGGTTCACTTTACTAAAGTGAGTAGCTACATGTGACTGGCGCGACCTTCACCTTTTACCTCCTATCTTTGTGCCTTTCCAGCCTCGCTTTCAGGTCGTTTGCTCATGATATCTTCCTGCGTCCACCCCCACTTTCTCCCAAATTGTAATACATTTTGCCTGAGTTTCACACTCTTTTTTCTCCTCAACGAGGTATGGAGGCCCACAAAAAAGAAATTCTTTCCATTTAATTCTTTCGAGAAATTTCATTTTGGCCATGAAATTAATTAGCACGCTCACCTTGTCTGAGAACTATCCCTTGTTTCTTTCTGTGATCCTCCAGCGTTTAGCTTTCCTCGTTGGGAAGTATCCTTCTGTACAGCAGTGCACTTACAGTGTCTATTTTCGCCCATGCTTGCAAGACGACAAGCGAATCTGCGGTACACATATACAGGGTGAGTCAAAAGTCCTGCCCACCCTTTGAACGTGAATAACTTCTCAACGCTTGATCTCATCAAGATGCCATTTTAACCATTCGGAAGACTAGAAAATTCTGTATCGAATGAAGGACTTTCGCTTCATTTTGCTAATGGTATCATTATGAAATTAAATTCCTGTTCTGGAGGCTATACAAAGGCATTGGCACGTGAAAACAACCTTGTGGCACCGCATCCAATTGTCTGTTCGAGTATGAGAGTTATTGTGTCTTGGCTGTGATCAATTCCAATTCATGGAAGCTTGAGGAAAATGGCTGATAAACGATTGACCAATGATAAGCGGGTTGCTTGGTTTTACTCCGAATGCGACGGAAACCGCTCGACAATTCAGTAAGAAATTGATTGGAGAAACCGTCAGCCGCAAGTTGTTTGCCCGTATTGACTCAAATTTTGACAGGACAGGAAACGTAGCAGATCTTCCCCAATCTTGACACCCTCTGACAGTCGAACAGAAAATTAGACACAGTGCTGCACACATGCTTTGGGTGCCAATGCTTTTATATGACCCAAGAGCAGGAATTTAATTTCCATTGGAAAAATTATGCAAAAATCCTTCTTCATATATAGAATTGTCTTGCCTTTCGAATGGTGAAAACTGCATCTCCATGAGATCAAGCGTTGAGACGTTATTAACGTTCAAAAGGTGGGCAATATTTTTGACTCACCCTGTAGAAGGAGGAACCCAACCCCCAGGCTGGAGGAAGACCCTGGAAAAAGCCAAGAAATTCTGAAAGAATTCCTTTCACCATGAAATGCCCATTTGACGGAGATGGAAAACTTGTTTTGCTCGGGGCCATCTCGTTGCACACTTGCTAAGGCATTTTCATAGTAATTGCACAATCAGAGGTCTGATTACATGCATATACTTGAAATGCAGAAAAAAAAGAAGGTGAGGGTGAATGGTGAATCTATTTAGAGGCCAGAGACGGCGGAACTATATGTGGATGAAAGTGGAGGGGGGGGGGTCATATCTGTGGGAAGAGCGAATGGGGCATGCCCTGAAGAGCGGAGGGAGGGAATGGATTCTTCCGCCGCACGAATATAACCGCCAAGCCATCGCCAACTGCCCTTTCCGGCATAGCACGAGACAGTTTTTCTCCTGTGGACGTGCTTCACTGGTCCAGTCGGAGAGTACCAGCCCTTATTCCGTTCATACTCTTTTCATACGGTCTCACTACTCAACGATACTCAGTACAAAATGGTAAGCTGCTGGATCATCTTTCGCTGTTAAGTCTTGACGGCTTTTAGCCTAACGTCAAGCAAAAATGTGATAGGCCCCTCCTCAATGGTAATTTGATTTAAAGTTATTTTGAGTTAATTTAGCCCAAAGGAAGGCGTGAGGTGGACCTGTAGTATTTCGGTTTTGAGGATTTTGGTCAATTTCAGGTAGAGTACCCATACTTTGAGTCTGACGGCGTCTTAATTGTCAATGAGACTCTCAATGATATTGGTCGTCGTAGAATTTTTGGCCATGACTTGCCTCTTATGCCTATGCCTTGTGCCGATGAATGCTTGGGCTAGTACCCTTCCACACACAGGGAAGTTCAGTAAATTCATCTGGGACCATAATGGGCCAACTGTCTTAAGATTCAGGGTATAGGCCAGGACAAGGTTTTGCATGGGAAGGAGCTGCTTGGGCCCAATTGAGGAATCCAATAAGGCTTATAATTTTTTTTGCTTTGCAGCGTGAGTGCATCTCCATCCATGTAGGACAAGCTGGGGTGCAGATGGGTAATGCATGCTGGGAATTGTATTGCCTGGAACATGGGATCCAACCAGATGGGCAAACACCCTCTGACAAGGCCCTTGGAGGACGTGATGATTCTTTCAATACCTTCTTCAGTGAGACAGGAGCTGGAAAACATGTCCCTCGAGCTGTCTTTGTGGATCTGGAACCTACTGTTGTGGATGAAGTACGCACTGGGACCTATCGACAACTTTTCCATCCAGAACAGTTGATTTCTGGCAAGGAAGATGCAGCCAACAACTATGCCAGGGGACATTATACAATTGGAAAGGAAATTGTGGATCTCGTCCTTGATCGGGTCCGAAAGTTGGCTGACCAATGTACAGGTCTTCAGGGTTTCCTCATCTTCCATTCTTTTGGTGGAGGCACTGGATCAGGTTTCACTTCCCTCCTCATGGAGCGTCTCTCTGTGGACTATGGCAAGAAATCGAAATTGGAATTTTCCATCTATCCTGCTCCCCAGGTTGGTTGGTTAATTGTATTGTTTCCCCAGTTTGTTGGGTCTGCTCACTGCCTTGTGGGGAGATGAATGTGTGGAGAAGGAATAATTGAATTCATGTTAATCTTATCTTTTAGGTGGCCACAGCTGTGGTGGAACCTTACAATTCCATCCTAACTACTCACACAACCCTGGAGCACTCTGACTGTGCATTCATGGTGGATAATGAGGCTATCTATGACATCTGTCGAAGGAACCTGGATATTGAGAGGCCATCTTATACCAACCTGAATCGTTTGATTGCCCAAGTTGTGTCCAGCATCACAGCATCTCTTCGCTTTGATGGAGCCCTAAATGTGGATCTCACGGAGTTCCAGACCAACTTGGTCCCATATCCCCGAATCCATTTTCCTCTAGCCACTTACGCTCCCATCATCTCTGCAGAAAAGGCATACCATGAGCAGCTGTCTGTCTCTGAAATCACCAATGCATGCTTTGAACCAGCCAATCAGATGGTCAAATGTGATCCACGACATGGTAAGTGACCCCCTTGAGCCTTTTGATTTTGACTATTGTAGAAAGGATACATGCCTTACTTGTTTCTCTTTATTTTAGGGAAATACATGGCCTGCTGTATGCTCTACCGAGGGGATGTGGTCCCCAAGGATGTGAATGCAGCCATAGCAGCCATCAAGACGAAGAAGACAATCCAGTTTGTGGATTGGTGCCCAACAGGATTCAAGGTGGGCATCAACTATCAACCACCAACTGTGGTCCCTGGTGGGGATCTAGCTAAGGTTCAGCGGGCTGTTTGCATGCTGAGCAACACAACTGCCATTGCTGAGGCCTGGGCTCGACTGGATCACAAGTTTGACCTCATGTATGCCAAGAGGGCTTTTGTTCATTGGTATGTGGGGGAGGGGATGGAAGAAGGGGAATTCTCAGAAGCCCGTGAAGATCTTGCTGCTCTGGAGAAGGATTATGAAGAAGTTGGTGTAGATTCCACAGAGGAAGGTGACGAGACTGGTGAGGAGTTCTAATGTGCATCTCGTTGCTGCTTCCCCATGTTCCCTCCTAACATTCTTGGAGGTACTACTTTTATATTGGAAAAATCTCAATTTTGTGTATTGTTTCTTTGGTCATCTCTCAAGCAGACAATAAAATCCCTTCTGTGCATATCTTGCTTTTTTATGTGGGCTTTCAAGGTTGGTTATGGAAAAAGGTGGGCTAGTTAGAACTGCCATGGTCAAGGAGCAGTGGTACTTGACATTTCTAACTTTCTTATTCACTCAATTGCTGTTCCCAGGAACACCTGTTCAGAGGGGTGAGTAGTTTGTCCAAACTGGAGAAGGTAAAAAGCAGAGGTGGTTAAAATGAAAAGGTTGTCTAACTTTTAAGGACAGTTCTTTCTGACAAAGGAGTAAATTTACTCCCTTGGCCACTTGTTTGATCCATAGATAGGAGCACAGACAAAGGTGATGCTGTCAAGTGTGAACAACCCTGAGTACAAGCAGCCAAATCAATCCTTGAAAAGTTAATGTGCAAAGTTTGAAGCCATATGTATATAGTATGTCCAGTCTAACCTTGCAACAATGACATTGCCTGTTCTATGGTAGCTTATTAATTTTGTGCTGTCATCAGCCTTGAGCCCCTTTCCTGCTATAATTAGGGACCTAGGTGTTCCTGGAACTTGTTGGGCATCTTGTCAAGATTTCTAAAATCATTTTAATGTGATGCCCCCCAGGAGTGTTGAACCAGTGTCTGGTGTAGGGGTCAAAGGGAAATTGCTCTCTCCCCTTGGGAGAGGAAGATGGATGGCATTTAATGACTCCCTTGAGGATTAAAAGTAGCAAGGTTGGACCACATAGACTATATGATTTCTGGCCCATCTATGGAACTGAGGATGAATGAACTTCAAAACTGGAGGAAGTACCCAAGTAGCAAGAGGTCATCCCTGGGACATCCCATTTGGATCCTACGTGGGACAAAAGGACATCCCATGGATGTCATAATGAAATTGTCCCGGGATATGGAAATCCCTGGAACATTCAGAGGACATCCCGTCAGGTTAGAAATACTCTCGTCCCATACACCAAATCCTTAGTATGTCCATAGGACGTCCGTTGTGGGATGTGGATGTGTCCCATAATGGACGTCCTATGGACATTCTAAGGATATGGTGTATGGGACGAGAGTATTTCTAACCTTACGGGATGTCCTCTGAATGCTCCAGGGATTTCCATATCCCAGGATGATCCCTTGCTGCTTGGGGGTTAGTGACTAACAACAATTACCCAGATGGGATCAGGCACAGAGACTAGTGGAACCTGGGAAGGTGAAAAAAATAGTTAGTTTGCATTCCAAGCTTCCAAAGGAGAGATGCATTGAGTACAATTGGGATGATAAAAATTATTAGAGAAGATACTACCATAATTGCCCTCATTACTGAGGGCAATAATGCTATTATGTTGGCCCCACTTATTGGTCAACCCTGAGTTTTGGACCCCTTAAAAAAAAAAAAACTCAGAAAGCTCTCCATTTGCTGCTGCAAGCAAAGAAGCATTCTCATTGCATTCACCAATGATGAATGCTGCACTTCTCTGAGACACCAAACTCCCATTCAGCAGCACAGTTGTTATTGACCTCAGAGAATAGAATAGCCTTGTACTTGAAAGCAGCATTGAAGTTGCAGTAACACTCTCACTGAGTCATAATTTGAGTATATTTTTCAGAAAAGCTTGGATTGGATGCCATGCACCAGGAACATTCCTTATTATACCCACTCCTGCACCCCAAACACATGAGTTATACATTCAACAGACTTTCATCCAGTTTGACAATATGAATGAAATTTGCAAAAGCAGTAATTTAGGCATAAACAAATAATGGATGCTTGTTATTTTTTCCAGTGTTGATGATTCAGCTGTTTGACTCTCCCTTAAAGGTTGAGATATGCATAATGGTCTACCCCTAGTTTTTTGGATACCTGATTTAGTATTTTTTAAAAGGTCAACTTATAGGCATGCAATTACAAGTGCACATGGGATATGCATTTTGGGTTGGCTACACCCCTGAGAGCTGGTCTGCTTCTGATGCCCTTTTTGTATTTGGTATTGAAAGCTGATGTTGCATTTTGTGGGTTCCTCCAAAGTGACTCACTTCTAATCTTTGTTTAAATGTAGTTCTACTGCTAGTTTCTCCTGACATCATTGATTGCTTGAGTTCTACCCAGTAGGTATCATAAGTTGTCAGTTATTGATCTTTTCAAAGAAGTTCATTTTGTTTTGCACTGCGCTGTTTGCATGATAGATGAAGTTTTTGCATGTTTGCATGTGTTGTCTTGTGTGTGTTGAAGCTGAAGGGCTGCAGGAAGATGGGTCATTCATTGGCCAGTATGGCTCCAGGCGACCTACTCAGCAATACCCTCCTCAGCCACACCCACAGCCACAGCCACACACTTCCTCAGCTTTTGCCACCTTAGTTTGATCTCCTGTAAGTTCTTCATTGCCATTTGTATTTCAGGAGACCATCAGGAGTTGGCAGCATTTTAGGGATGAAAATGATTTTGTTGATGGTTAAATGCATTTTTCATTTTCAGTGAAATGAATGGGCTTAGACAGCACATGATAGTGAAAGCATATCTAGTTGATTTTTTGCTACCAATTTTTTTTTTTGTAATCTTACAGCCAGCAATTACAAATGAAACCCATTTTGACTAGAAATACATTTGCCCTCTTGGATATAATCACATGTACAAGTATGACACATTCCTGGTGACCATAAAGAGAATTGCACATCCTTATAGCCTAGGAGTGTAAGCACAGTAATATACAGAGGGTTGTCCCTGCTTTGCTTGAATTTTCAAAGTATAGATGCTCTTGTTATTAGAGATTATTAACCTTTTCTTAGCATGAAATTGTGGGGCGAAAAGCCAACTTTTGTCATGTCAAGTGAAGGGCTGTGCATTTGCCAATCAGGTAGCCTATGGACTTTGTTATGGAGAGATATGTAAAACACCTTTCTGCAAAAGGGTACTTACTGGGAATGATCGTGCAAAAGTGTTTCGTGAATTAATGGCATATTTCCAAAGGAGCCAATACATACAAGGTCTGATCAAAAGGTTTCAAAGACAGAATTTTTTATGACTGTGGTGACTCTTTCTGGCCTCTGATGCCCATGTCCTTCGAATTGATTCTCTTTGGGACCTAAAATATTTTTCTGCTGGTCATTCGAAATGATAAGTATGGGCTATGCTTGGAGCAGCTGAAGAAACACCAGAAAATTGTGTAGATGCTGAAGAGGACTACTTTGAAGGATATAGGTATCAGAAGCTGAAAAGAGCCACCACAGTGTCATTAAAAAATCCAGTCTTGGAACTTTTTGATCTGACCTTATTTACATAGATTCTTGATTATATAGAAGTGACAAAGGGAAAGTATGGGAACTAGAGAAGGAAGGTGTGAATTACAGCCCCAGACCAGCATGCAACAAGAAATTGTTGCCAAAAGTAAGCCCTCAAATGGGGATGGAAACCCATCCAGCCAGATATCAAGGGAAAATCAACTCCAGGCTGTCCAAGGGAAATCTGGGTCATTCATAATCATCTCAGTATGGAAGCAAAAGCATATGAGCAAACTCCCAAGTTCTCTTAATATTATATCACTTCAGGTAAAGGAAGCTGAATGCCAGAAAATTGTACAAATGCCACTCGGGAAGGGGACAGGTACTAGTATGTTTGTGCGATTAATGGGAAGTTGCAGAGTAATTGGGACAAAAGTAGCATTTAAAAAAATTTTTTAACCCCTCCAACTTAATTTCTTGCATTGTATGGATACTAAACCTATACTAGGTAAGGGATCTGCTAAACAGCATCACCTGACATGAAATGGTTTTCTTTTTTTTGTTTTTCCTGGAACATTCCATTTAGATAAATTTAACGCTTGCTCCATGAACCTTGTTTTTGGACAATTTTGTCACATCTGTAACACTAGAAAACTTGCTGCTTCATTTTTCAACAAAAAAAAGTTATATGGCACAAAGAAAAGCAACAGTCTATGCCTTTTTTTTTGAAAATATGGAAGCTTCAGATCAAGCCATATTAGACAAAATTGGAAGGGAAGCTGCAGAATGAAAACTATTCTCTAACCTATCAGTAACACAAGATGAATGCTCTACTTTTCTTCATCCATGGGAGAAATGAGATATTTATTGCTGGAATAGGTGCAAGTATTTTCTTCTATAAGATAATGTTGAAGAATAATTTATGGACCAAACCATCTTCAAGGGATACCATCATACTTATTTTCATTTTGAGTCTGGTTATAAATCAATAACTTTGGATCTGCCCTCATGGATATTGTCAGATTTCCATACAATGGAAAACTCCTAATCGTAAAGGTGGACAAAAATGTCCATTAATGCAGCAAACTATCAGCAGAATAACCTGAAATTTATATTCCAACAAGAAATTCCATTGAAGTTCCTGTTGAAGTGGACAAATTCCAGCTTCATTAGGATAAGACATCCAGTCATACTCTGTTTTTGGACTGAATTTGTATCCCCTCATAGGAGTGCCTCCATCAATTGCAGGTGCAATGGACTTCTTCCACATGGATCATTGATGAAGGGGAATTTGTTTTTTTTTTCCTCCAATATGGGCAAGGGGTATGGATTGAATTGGAGAACAGCATAGTCACATAATATCCAAAGCATTTTTCTAGTAGAATGCTTTAAAAATGGGATTTACCACCCATCCCTTTTGACTATATTCATGTGAGATTCCCTGATTAGACCCATATGGATGTTTGTGCTTGGGTTGCTGCACTTGTGCCTTTGGGAGTTGGTGCACAAAAACTTTTTGGTGCCCCTGGGAAATCTGTCTGAGAGAAATGAGACATAAGTGTTATTTCTATGCTCTGTGAAGAGCTATGGCTGAGTGGTAATTGTGGCACTCAAGTACTCTTCAGAGCCAAGGATGTCAAATAAAGCTCAGTTGTTTCTGGGAGAAGTAATAATTAGCCATACTCTGAATCATATATTGTTGAATAAAATTGAGGTGGTCTTCTTTACATCCCCCAGGCTTGCAAAGTAAAACTTTCATCATCTATGCAGTAGCTTTCATTTTAGTGGGATCATAGTACTTTTCATAACATTCAGAGTTTCTTTTTTTTTCCCCTTAAGTGATTGCTCCTTTCTTGTGTATTCCTGGTTGTAGGCCCATTTACAGAGGATGGATCTTTCATCGGTCAGTATGGTACGAAGAAGAAGATGGAGAAACAGAGAGGGAATGATGAGGGTGAACCACCTCCACCCCCACCTCCTCTACCCACAGCCCCACCACCCTTCCCTCTTCACGGTTCTCTCGTCTAACTCTCAACTGAATCAAAAGTTCATGGATTTCTACCAAATGAAAAATGGAATCTGTTTGATTTGAGATGCATTTGCTCGAGTCTCTGAAACCTTTTGCCAGAACTGATGTCACAAGAATATATCGGTGTGATCTGTGTGCTCTTGAAAATCTCTGGCACAAATGCTCGACATTATGCTTCTCATTCTACTGTAGATCTGCTCTGCTTATTTCCCTGCCCCACTGCATTCCAGTCCAGTGACCTATCAATGAGAGACCGCATCTAGTCCCTCTCAAGAATCTGAGATCTGACATTGCCTTATAGACTCTTTGATATCCAGTGAGCTCTTGTAAATCTCAACTCCTTAATTATGATGCAATCTCATAACCTATTGTTATGTTATGTTATGTTGTGTTCAAGATATCACTATCAATGGTGTAGTGCATTTAGTAGATGACTTTTGGGACGATCTCATTTCATGCCTAGCTTTCTCCTCTATGTTGTTACCCCTTTGTATCGGCGTTCATCGACCATGACGAGAAGATCGTTTTACACCTTCCACCACTCCGTGTGTTCACGGGCTGCTGAATTCTTCCAGCTTTCAAAGTTTCAATTGATTATATGTATATGGATATTGCTTTGATGGGGTTTACAAACTCTACACCTTTTGGAACGGATGTAACCAATAAAGACGACTTTTTTCTTGCTATTTTTGACCATGCTTTTTAGACAAGAGTTGGAGGGGCTAGAACTTGGGAGGCCTGAAGCCCCTTCCCAGCCCCCCCTCACTATTATACTGTTCACCTTGCTGTAGTGGGACATCTCAGTAAGTTGAAACAGCACGTTCGCATGAAATCAATCGCAAGAGATGCTTCCTCTGTGAAACGCCAAGTTCCTCCTGATACTTATGCCTTCTCTTCGCCCAGTATCTACCCCCCCCCCCCCCCCCCCCCCCCCCCCCCCCCTGACACTCCAGGAAATATGAGGGATCACAGTAATCCCAAGTGCTTTTAAACCCTTCATCCCCGCCACTCCCCCCACACACCCATGCCCCCCTCCCCTCCCCTCATCCCTCAGAAAATCCTGCTCAAACCACTGGGTTTGTGTTCTCAAATTTTTAAACAGTCGATGTCATCGAGTACGATTCGCCCGTTTCGTGCCTATCATTCCCTCCCACGATGCACATGACTAGCGTAAGAGGGTAAACAAGCCGCATTCGTTTTTCACTAAGTCTTCGTAACTCTTAATCCAGTGCATGCTCACAAATTCTGATTAAATCATTTCGTCGTTTCGCTCGATTCCATCTAATGAAAGCCGTCCTGGCATTCTCAATATGATCCTAACGACTAGAGGCGATTTTTCTTGTCACCTCTTCAGGAGTTTACAGCTGAAGAGAAAACATCCCACGGAAGTTACATCTCGTGGATTTATTTGAGGTACTGATGACACTTTAGCAACATTAATGAGCTAAGATTTACTTTGCATTTTAATATCGCATTTGTATTTTTGACATTTTGATTCATGTACAGGGAACTAATATCGATAACTGTGGTTATGGCTTAGCATATTGCCTTAAATGCATCAAATAAGCGTCATCAGTACCAGGACCGTAAATAAGGGAGAGGGGGGGGGGGGCGAAGCAAACGAAAAGCAAATAAGAAAAAATGTGTTGTATGGTGAAAATATAGTTGTAAAAATGTAGAATGGAGAGGTTTCGGTTAGTGTTGAGTATGTAGTACCCCCATGAAAAGTTTGCTATGCCCTTCACATAAAGTATTGCTGCAGAATCCTCAGTTCCTGCAGGTACGAGAGGAAGAGGTACATCGTGTTATCAGATTTCGATCGATATTCGCATATAAACATGATGAAACGTACGCCCAAGACTCCCCCACGAGCGCATCGTGTGGCTTCCTACTCCTTACTTTCAGCTAAACTCTGTATTTGTAATATTTTCCAATGGACATGATAGGCGCTAAAGCCTAGACCATGCCGTTTTCTAGAAGACAAAGTTAGGACAGGGCTTTGAATAGAAATGAAGACCCTAGAGACGAGTTGCCATACCGCTCGCTGTCGCTAAATGACATGCAGCAGCACAATTATTGCCTCTTTTAATCACTAAGTTATGCAACGATGAATAGATGACGAAGTGTTTGCCACTGACTTATTCGCCCTAAAGTTGGTTCTTGATTGAGATTACCCCTAAAAGCCATCGGACGCACGATTCCGGAAACGCTGAAAGAAGCAAGATCATAAGTACGAGGGACAGTCAATAAGTTCCAGGAACAGACTCATATCTTTTTTTTTCTGAACTGAAGGAAGCGAAAATTATTGAGCCTTATCAACATCGTCTCCATGCAAGTCTATGCACGTTTGCAGCCGCTTCTTCCAATTCTCAAAGCAGGCAGCATAGTCCTCTTTTGGGATGTCTTTAAGGCACTGGAAAATAGCTGACCAGAGAGCATTTCGGTTATCGTAGCGCTTTCCACGTAAGGAATCCTTCTAGAGATGAAATAGCCAAAAATCACAGGGGGGCGGGGAACGGAAATATTTGCCTGCTCCAGGCAGTCGAGGGCTATGGCGGAGCGATGTGGAGGGGCATTGTCATGAAGTCGCAGGTGTTCATTTGGCCGTGGTTTCTGGAAAGCTTCATGGACTCGGGATAAGATTTTGGCGGCATAAAACAGCCCCATGACTGTTGTCCCCTTTGTTGTGGGGTATTTACACCAAAGAATCTTTGGCATCGAAGAAGATAGTATACAGAACTTTCTCAGAACTTGCCCGGCGCCGTGCAAAATATGGACATGCCATGTTGTGGAGTTTACGTGGAGACTCAAAAGGGTTGGATCCAGGTCTCATCACCTGTTGCGATGTTTATCTGCGCCTCTTGCCCACAGGCCTTGAACTATCAATATTTCAACAGCGACGCAGTTGTTTCCTTTCTCTCTACCTTCTGGGTGGGTGTTGAACATGGGGAACCCAGCACGCGCATATTTTGCGCATGCGCAGCTGATTGTGGGGAATGGTGTGGATTGCACCATGGGATAGAGTCCAACTGGCGGCCCGCGAGCCGGATCCGATCCGCCAATTCATGTTCTCCGACCCGCGAATTCCTCTTTAACAGATTATTTCGGAAAATTGCTGCAAATTTCACCTGTTCGCGTTAAAAATGTGGTGTATGTGGTGTGAGATTCGTTAGTGAGGCCCCCAAACACACGAACCAAATCATTTGATCCCCGCCAAATTGAGTTGGATACCCCTGGGGTAGACCAACCTCTCCTGCTATTTCATCCAAAGTCCGCCTACCGTCCTCCACCAATTCCGCCTCACGCCTCACATTATCATCCCGGACCGCTGTCGCTGGGCGCCCTGACCTTGGGTCGATTTCTAGGAACAGGCAGCCATCTCTGAACCGTCGAGCCCATTCTGCAACACGACTATATGAAGGGGCGCCGTCACCCACGACTTTCATTTGGTCTTCACCCTGGCTGCACAGTTGAGCAGTGATTGCACTTTGTTGAAAGCAAGAATCTCAAGGTCAGAAAATTGCAAGTTTTCCATCAGTGGCTTATACATGGATCACTCCCAAAGGTCATATCTGCGAGAAAAGTCTGTTTAAAAATTCCTAATTAATTAGCAAAGGCACATTGAAAAACGGTATTTCAAATGCTATGACTGACATTTCCAGCAGGTAATGGATCTCAAAGGTACATGGGTGTTCCTAGAACTGATTGACTGACCCTCGTATGATAGGGAAGTTAAAGGCAGGAAAGGAGACTGTCCCCAACAGGATTCCTGCTCGTGTCATTAAGGAACTCGCGAGGGAAATTGCGGTACCGCTAAGAATTGTGTTTGAAAACAGCTTTTCGCGTGGAGAAGTGCCGAGGGATTGGAAGCTAGCGAACGTCATACCGATCTTTAAGAAGGGCGAAAAGAGTAATCAGAGTAATTATAAGCCGGTAAGTCTCACGAGTATTCCAGGAAAGATAATGAAGAACATCCTAAGGGATCACATTTTAAATTTCCTCGAAGGTAACGCGCTCTTCAGGTACTCTCAACATGGGTTTAGAAGACGTCGCAATTGTCTCACCAATTTGCTCGAATTTTACGATTGGGTGACGAAAAAGAGAGATAAGGGGAACTCCGTAGATGTCGTCTCTTAGATTTCGCGAAAGCCCTCGATACCGTTCCTCACAAGAGACTGCGGGTTAAATTGGAGGCGCACGGTATTCAGGGTAGGACAAGTGTTGATTTGAAGTGTTAAGTGTTGATTGAGATTAGTTGCTGGTTGATGGGAAGAGACCAGCGAGTGATGGTAAATGGGGAAGCGTCGACGGTGGTCGAGGTCGCAAGCGGTGTTCCTCAGAGCTCTGTTCTAGGACCGCTTCTTGGTCTACATTAACGACTTAGATCAAGGTTAGATAAGCAAATTTTCCGACAATACAAAAATAGGTTTTTGTATCTGAGGGGAAGTGGATAAGGCTGGAGCCGAACGAGAAGACTCTAGGACGAGTGGAGCAAGAAATGGCTCATGAGGTATAATAAAAGTACAATAAGTGTAAGGTTCCTCCCATCGGTCATAATAACTATAGGTCTCTGAACGAGTTCGGAGCAGATAAACTGAATGAGGCAAGCGGAGAGAGGAACCTTTGGATTGCTGTTGATGAAGAACGCAAGTTCTCGACGCTCTCCAAGTGGATTCTGCGCAGCCGCGCGCTGACGGGTCGCGGACGGGGATGGGAGCCGTTGAGTTCGGGAAAAAATGCCACGTGCTCCCGTACTCAATAATGGACCGTGGAGGGCTGCCTCGCTTCTCCCTCCTCGAAATCTCGAAAACGTTTCGGTTTACGAAAAATACTGCCTAAACAAGATTTGTAGTCCAGAGTCTGCCCCTGCCAGTGCACAGTGGGCTGTGCGAGGGGGGGGGGGGGGGGGGACAATCTGCCCTGGGCCTCGCGTATCAAGGGGCTCCCGGTTTTGTTTTGCCCCGGGCCTCTGGAAACCTCTGGGCGGCCCTGAGACTGAGACACCTGAACAAGGAAAATGCAGTGATGCTGTACTGGGATCGTTTAGAATGAAAGTAAAAAAATTGCGAATAATGGTGACTGGAAAAGGATTTTCGTGACAGCTCCAATCCAATGCGAGATGACCGGACATCGAACTCACGCAACCCATCCCAAAGAAAGAATTTCTTCGGTGTGTAGGGCATTTCCTTCAGTTTCAGATTTCGCGATATTACTATCTTGCATGATCTCCCGTGCCACAAGCTCGCTTCGACACCCTGTCTGCCTAAACAGCATGCCCTTCATTCCAAGCCGTTCCACTAAAAAAACGCGTTCTGCGCAGATCAGAGAGGGGTCTCTCCGACATCCCTTGATTTTATGCCTTTACCCCGCCCCTCGACCACCACGACTCATGAATCCAAGCTCAGACCAGTAAGGATACAAACATTTTTCTTTGCGGGTACGTCCCTGCCAGTTCTGTTGAACGCATTTTATTGAACAAGGATGGAGGTTCACTCATTCGCGGAGGTTCCAATGCTTGAACAAACGACTTCTTTTTTTTTTTGGGGGGGGGGGGGAGCAGACAGATCTGTTTACCACCTCATGTGGAGAAAATAAAAGCAATTATCTGCCGATAGCCGACATGACAGAACCACGGATGATGAGAATGACGACCGTTTCTCAGTACAACTGAGATGGAATGTGAGCT